ACCTGAACCCACCAATGCAGCAGAATATGGTCCGCCTCTAATCGGACTCTCCTGCTGGTTCTGGTCTCAGTTACGGGTCTAACGGTGCTGCTGCTGCTTCACTTCGGCCTCAACGAACAACCTAAAACATCTTTGTTCTGATTTCTGACGGTTCAACGTTGGTGCAGCTGCTCAGAGACGTTCAGATCTCAGCCCACAAACCGTCCTGTGGAACCGGACCAGAAAAGTTCTGCTGAGTTTCACAACCCCACAGTCTGACAGGTTTTATGATGAACGAGTTCAGACTTTGTTGTCAGATGACAAAACTTCAGAACCACGCGGTCCAGATTAATCTGTAAAGCGTTCCGTCCTCATCATGTGTAGAGCTGCAACCGTTAATCTGTCATCAATTAGCCGTCAGTTATTTAATTATTCAACTACTTTATATCAAAACATTCAGTTTGAATCATGTTGTAATAATCAGTCTAAGTTCTGTGGTTTCAGCTTCTTCAGTGAATGCGTTCTGGTTTCTTTCCTCTGGATCAGTAAACTGAACATCTTTGGACTCAGCAGCTGATCAATTAATCCAGAGATTAATCAATAACAACAGTAATCTTTATGTTCGTTTCAGTTTTTACCTGCGGTCTGATCCCAGCCTTTATTTCTGGTGTTGCTGCTGCAGAGCCAGTAATCCTGATTACACATTAAGATTATTGATCATATCGAAAACCCGGTTTAATTGCCATAATCTAATTAGCTTCTCTTTGTCCCGACCTTCATTGCAGAGACGTTGTTTAGCCAACTAATAAGGAGGAGCCTCAGATGTGTTTGAGCGAAGTAAATCTGCAGATTGTCTTGTTAAATCACGCCGGCTGTGCTTCTATTAACATAAAAGCTTCTGTTCATTAACCTCGAGCGACTCGTAGCTCTGCAGCCGACAGGACGGAGCCCTGCAGGATCCGCTCAGGTCAGCTCCTCCAGCAAACAGGTGCTGCAAACTTCACAACCACAACTCACAGCTCTCCTCCACTCTAATGACGAGCCCAAGATAAATATCATGTGGAGCAGAATTTAAAAGTCTCTGCTTGTTTAAGGTCAGACACCTGCAGCGCCGAAGAAACTAAAGCTGATTAAATTCTGCAGATCTCATCCGTTTGTCACCAGTTCTCTACTTTTTTTTTTTTTTAGGAAAATGACGTCTTTTTCCTTGAAGTTCTTCTACTCAGGAGCGTCTGTTCCTTTGTGATGTTTGGTTAGTTTGGGTTTCACACTAGAAGCAAGAAAGTTTCTCTGCTAAGAACTGAAGTCATCAAAGAGATTTTAGTCCATATAGTTGAACGCTCTGAGTCCAGGTGAACCCGTCCGGACACTCGGTTCCAGAGCTTCCTTCAGTACGTTGCTGCCGTCTTTACAGGGTTCGTGGGTCAGACGCTGAGCGGCTGTAGCAGAACTTTGAGGCGTGTTAGTGACGTTCTGTACTTTAGGTATGACAGCAGAGTGTTGGAACGCTCCCCCCCTCGTCTCAACTGGCTCCTACATCTCCCACAATGCAGCCTCCCCGTCTGGTGAAGAACCGATGAGCCTCCACAGACTCTCGGTTGTGTGCTTGTAGGTTCATTCCTCCTTCCTCCTGCTCAGCATCAACTCTGCTGCCTTCAGTGTCGTCGCTGCACAAATGTTCAACGTCTGCAGACTCAAACGAACGACAAACTCCACGTCTGCGTCAGACCATGTTGCACTGTTTGTTTTCCACGACGTTCACGTGACGTTAACTTTGTCGTCCAGCCAACAGACTGAACTGATGCTTGTAGTTTCTCTGTTATCCACCTTCATGATCCGTCAGTCAAAGAGCTCAAATAGTTCAACTCTTCACACCAAACCACCAAAACCCTGAGGAGATGTAAGTACAGGCAGCAGTGGAAGTTCAGCTGCTTCCTTCCCTGTCTGGAAGCTGCACTTTTATTCTAATTAAACCATCATTTGTTCTGACGACGTCCAGTTTAACGAGCTAGTGGAGTTCATCTACAGACACGTTCCCGTCTGCTATGAACGGAAACGTCTGCTCATACGGACGAAGAAGGGAAAGTTCTGATCTTCAGGCCCATTCTCGTCCATGTGGTCCACTGAACTCTGAAACCATCTGAGTGGCAGAAACCAAAGAGAACCTGGACCAGAGTCCCTGTTCACCTGGACCTTCACCGACCGGGTTAGAGAGCAGGAGGACTCACGTGAGTCACGAAACAAAGCAGAAGGATTCATCTGAGGACAGGACGTCTGAGTTCGGACACGAATCTACCAAAGACGTTGGTTCTAATCAGAGCCTCAATGGTGTCTGAGAAACAGCCTTGTTTCTTCTTCAGTCCAGAGTTCATCTGGATATCGTAGAGTCGTGGTTTGCTGCTGCTGCTGATGCTGGTTCCAGTCTTTAAAGTTCAGACATCTTCAGCCACAAACCAAACCCAGATACAGAAGGAACTTCTCTAACTGTACGGTCTGGAGCCAGTTTATTAAAGTTCCCCCGATTTGAATTTAGTTTTAAATCAACTAATGCAGAAATGTGAGTTTAGGTGTCACAGTGTTGAACTGATGCAGCACTGAGAGCAGTTAAAGGTCCACCAGAACCACTCAGGTGTGTTTTACCTCAAAGAGGGAACAGGAAAGTTCAGACTGTAAAATGTCCTCACAAAGAACAGAGTCTGAGCTGCTGGAGCTGAGACAGTTTGTGGTTTTAAACCTTGAACATCAGCTGCAGCAGCTTCTGCCAGCTGGACTCTGAAACCGGAGTTCTGGTGCTGGTTCTGCTCGGAGCTGCAGTCCAGGTGTTTGTGCTGCAGCTGCTGCATGAAGCTCCGCTGCAGAGCTCAGATCTGCACCGACAGCAGATTCTCCGGCTCTCCTCTCGGCTCCACACCGGCAGCAGAGCCATGCAGGGCGGCCGGGAAGCGGCGGCGGCTCCGGGCGGCACAGCGGCTCCTCCCCGCGGAGCTCCGCTGCTCTGAGCCGGGAGGCAGCGCTCCTGTCCGGCCGCTGCAGGATGCACGCAGCGCTGCAGCAGCACGACCCGCTGCTGAACCGAACCGAACCGAACCGGGTTATGAGGAGGGAGGAGGAGGAGGAGAAGGGGAGGGACGGAGATAAACAACTAACAAAAAACAAACAAACAGGAGGCGAGCAGCGGAACTGATGCAACTTCTGGAGAGTGTTTGATCCGAACCGAGCCGAGCCGAACACTGAGGCCTGGGTGGTTCTGCACTGATCCTCTGGATGGATCAGGTTCATGATGTGAGCTGAGATTCTGTCAGAGCTGAGATGGTAAGTAGAAGAGCTGATCTGGTATTAGTACCGATCAGCTGTATTGATTATCGATCGATCAGCTGTGGAACTCTGCAGCAGTTCGATACTTTGAAGTCTTTTTTACCTGAATGTTCCGTCCAATCAGACGCGCCTCTGACGTTCAAATCCCTCCATATGGCCCAGTGAGAGAGCGCGGCTGTGACGTGGCATGTCCTGATTGGCTGCGTGTGGTTCTGTGGTTTAAAAATAATTTAATAATTATCCGCCATTTATTAAATAAATTCGCACTTTATCCATTTATTCTACATCGTGCTTTAATCAGCCACAGCACTGATGGACCGGAACATCGCTGTTTAATTATTGACTTTTATTACATCTTTATTTCCACTAATGTTCCCTGAACGTCCCATTAGAACCTGGAGCTTCTGTAACGTTGGCTCTTATTATAATCACACTGTTTAATGCTTATGTTTCATATTTCTGCCTCCTGAGGGCTCTGGTTCTGGTTCTATCAGAACCTGGTGTGTTGGTGTCTGTGGTTCTGGAGTCGGTCTGTAAAGGACCTGCTGGAGGTTCTGACTTCATGGCTCTCAGGTGTTTTGAAATCCTGCTTTGACTCTTTTTTGCTGCAGAAATGTGACATTTAAACTCTGTACTGTCAGCTGTGTGTTTTAGGGTTTTTGTGATTTAATGTCTTCTTTTTTTTTTTTTTTAATCACTTGTAGAATCTAAAAGCTTCAGTATTTCCTCAGACTTCAGCAGGTCGGTGAGTTTACCTGTGAACTGGTTTGACCTGTTAGTGGACCTGAATGTTCTGGAGTTTGTGGTTTTATTTCTGCTGCTGCAGGTTCAAAATAGAATAAAAACCTGCAAAGCGTCAGAGAAAAGCTGAAACCAAAAAGTGCAATTAAAATAAAAATCTGGACTTTTCTCAGTAAATTCACCACAAATATGTTCCTGAGAAATGAAGTAAAGTTAAAGTAAAACTGAGACAATCTGAGGTCAGCAGGTCGCTTCATGTCAGACTGATGTGGCGATAAGTCGGTACCGATAACTGATGTTCTACAGGAGACGTTCGGTCCACTGGGTCCAGCTGCTTCAATAATAATAATAATAATTAGAATAATAATAATTAGAATAATAATAATTAGAATAATAATAATTAAAATAATAATAGTAATAATAATAAGAATTATTGTTGTTACTATTATTATTGCTGCTGCGGGTCGCGGCTCTTTGTGCGGTTTCATTCGTTCCCGGTTCGGGGCGCCGGTTCCTCCCGGAGCTGCCCGGACAGGACGGAGCTGACGGCAGAGTTCCGACCCGAAGTTGAGCAGAAGCAGAAGTTGTACAAACGCAACCGAACCTGAGCTGCGGATTAATTTCCAGCGTCTGATCTGATCGATGCTGATCAATAAACCCACAGCCCGAACACACACACACTCGCGCACACACTCACGCACGCACGCGCAGAGGCATCGCCGGGTTGGACTTGTGAAAGTGCGCGCGGCGGATCGATGGCTGTGTGTGCGATCAGCTGATCAGCGGTCAGAGCTCCGGTCCGCGGACACACACAGACGCAGTCCGGCGGCGGAGCGCGGAGGTCCGGGAGCAGCAGCAGCAGCAGCAGGCGGCAGCGGAGCGGAGGAGGAGGCTCCTCTCTGTCCGGGACACGGCGACTCTCTCCGCCCTCTCTCTCCTCACGTCTCCTCCCGCCGAGATAAATTAACGGAAAGCAGCTGTCGGTGGTTGTAGAGGCGAGGCGGCCGTCTGGCAGCTCAGGGATCCCGTCCTGCCGATCTTCCTGCTTCGTTTCGGGGTTCTTTCCCGGGACTCCTCCGCTGCGGCTGCACCGCCGCCCTCCGTCCCGAGCACCGAGGAGCCGCACCGCCGCACGCCGGCCACAGCGCACCGCAGGTCGGGTGGACATGTTGCCGAGGTCCGCCTCTCGCCGCGGCTCTCCGGAGCTTTGAGATGCAGTTTCGGGACGTTTGGGATCTCCGCACCGCTCCAGCACCGACTGCCCCCCGCCGCTCCGCCGCTGCCTAACGGGACTTTTCTCTTGTTGCCGGAGATGGTGTTCGTGTCTGGGCGGAAAGTTGCGCGCTCCCCGGCGGAGGGCCTCTAACAGGTCCGGACCGAGGAGCCGAGCGGGGGCAAAGTTCAGCGGCTGGAAATGTGAAGGCGAGGCGGCAGAAGGAGGGTCCCGCTGCCCCTCTCCGGCTTTTTCTCTTCTTTCTGGTCTCACTGTACACGCGCGGCCGCTGCGCACACGCACGCGCACTCAGGCTGGAGTTACAGTAACACACACGCACACACACACGCACAGCCTCCAGAGGACAGCATGTATTCTCCGCTGTGTCTAACGCAGGTGAGTTCAACTTTATTCAGCGGGCTTTGCTGCAGCCTGCCGCCGCCCCGCAGCGCCGCCGGCCGGCCGCCGAGCGTCCGGGGCCGCCGCCGGACCCGGACCCTGACGCGCGCGCTCAGCTCCGGAACTTTGTGTGGTAGTTGTGTAGCGGTTGTGTTGTTGTGTCTGAGCCGCTGCGGGTGTTTGTTTTCCTGCACACTGTGTCCCGGCGGCAGCCCGGTCCGGCCGCCTGCAGGTCCGGTCCGGCCTCCGGAGCTGCGGCTCGGAGGAGGTTTGAGGTCTGAAGGCCAAAATCTGGGAACAAATTCGGAGTAAAGTTTGTCTCCGCCGAGAGTCGGACGCGAAGCGGAACCGCTGCTCAGTTTGACAGAAACTTTGCGGAGTGTTCAGAGTTAGAGACACGGAGTGTGTGTTTAGGTGTGTGTGTGTTTAGGTGTGTGTGTGTGTTTAGGTGTTTGTGTGTGTGTGTGTGTTTAGGTGTTTGTGTGTGTGTGTGTGTGTGTGTAGGTGTGTGTGTGTGTGTGTGTGTGTGTTTAGGTGTGTGTGTGTGTGTGTGTGTGTGTGTGCAGTCTGGCGCAAGTTCGGTCTGAAGTTCTGCGGGTTTCTGCTGCTGGTTCTGGTCTGTGGCACCGAACCGGGTCTCGTCATTAAAAGCTTCCTCCTCGCGGCCTCACGCACGAACCTCAGGCCTCACAGACCCGTGCGTGTGCGCGCAGGGAGGTGACGTGAGGTGACTGAGGTGTTTTTCTCGCCTTCACTCGTGATTCCGGGTTTTGATCCACTTCAGAACTCACCTGGTTCCGGTTCATAGCTGCAGGCTGCGTTCAGGGTCACAGGTTCGGTCGAATTTCAGAGCTTTTTATTGGCTGTGAGCTGCTGCAGGTTGAATTCTGTGTTAAACTGAACAGAAACAAAATAAAACATTTAAATCCTCACAGATTTTATTTTTATTTCAGCATCTGACACACACATTTTAATCCGTGTAATTATGAGGATTGATTTAATTTTAAACCTGAACTCAAACGTCATAATTTATTATTTTCAGCAGGATTTCTTCTTTATTCTCTGGAGGCTGATATTTGGTTCCTGACGGTCTGAACCGTGTATTTGGTGGCTGTAAATAAATATTGAGCGAGTGCAGTGAAAGGAGATAATTCAGGAACCATCTGCTCCGGAACATTTTAATCTGCTGCTGATATTTCGTGTCTCTGTGACTTCGCTGCTGAATCCAAAATTGTGCACAATTTGCATGTTGGTTTGTTTGTGCAGCTTCAGTCTGAGTGTCTGAATCTGCAGCACGAACACAGATTTACAGTTTAATCAGATTATCGGCCAGTAAAACCAATAATCAGCAGACAGCCACTGACTGTCGGTTTTTGTAAATCTGTTCTGTGGAGGATTAAGAAATACGTTTTAGGGCCTGAACACTTGTGTTTTATTAGTCCGATTATTCTCTTTTCTTTTATTCTCGTGTGATATTTTGAGGTTTTTGGATGAAAGTGTGTTGAGTCGAGCGTCAGACTGTTTTAATTAAAACACACACATTTAAAGGTGGATATTTATTTAAAGTGAATATTTAAATATGTGATAAATCTCACGTTTTAACATGCAGATTCTTTCATAAATTTAAAAATTTAAAATGAATTAAACTGAAACATTTTAGCTTCGAGGTGACGTAAGCAGCTTCCTTTAACCTCCAGCCAGCAGGGGGCGCCGCAGACAGAACGCTCCGCCAGCGATTTTATCGTAATTTAAGTGTTTATTTAAAGTTGCGTTCCTGCAGCGTGTAAAGATAATTTAAGACAAGTAGCAGAATTTGTAAAAGCCTGAAAAGAACGTTTTAAATCACGACGTTGTTTTGACATCGGGATGTTTGTTTACGTATTTTTTTTTGCATTTTTATTTATTTATGAACACATCTTTGGCAACGTGTGTGTTTGCATTATTTTGAGTGTGACGGTGTCGAAATTAAATGAAAGAAGAAAACTGGAGATAAAAGCTGAACAGGTGCTCGTTGATTTTATAGAAATATTATTTGAGATTCAAACGTCTGAATGTCGATCAGCTGATCAGCAGCAGAGTCCTGGATGAGGAGTGAGTTCATCAGCTTTAATTCTGTCATTTAAATCTGCGGTGGTTGTTTCTGATCAGATGCTCCGTCAGCCTCCGATCGGCTCTCAGGTGTCCCGAGGAGGGCAGCTGGAGGTCCGACTGGTCTGAGTGGGACCGGAGGATTATGAGCATCGCTGCTGCTCTTCAGGCCTGTTGTTGTGTGAAGCCTCGCCGGCCTCACAGGCGCTGAAAGGAGGAACCCCGGGGAGCCGAGCTGAGCCTCCTCACGCCTTCAGCCGGCTTCATTCAGCCTGAAAACATCCGCCGGCTTCACCTGTGTTCTGTGTGAAGACGTGACATTTAATTCTCCGACCCGCATCCAGCAGCGGCTTCACGCTCAAATTAGTGACGAATAAATTCCAGAATCAGGAGAGAACAGAGCTGGATTATCTGCACACGGATGTGTCGGAACAAATGGAAATGTTAAGGCCAGACGGGAAAAGAAACGACTCGTTCAGACAAACAAACCTCATCGAGTGTTTGAGGGAAAACCCAGAACTGCACATTTCTCTGTTAAAATAAAAACACAGCTTTAGGTTGAACAAATGAATCAATCATTTTAATTATAAGGGCTCATTTCATTTATTTTTTATTTCTTATTTTAAGATGCTGGAATCAATTTCCACTAAAATGTCTAAAATAACACAAATGAAGTGAATAAAGCAGCAGAAAGACGTCACCTTTAATTCACACTCAGTCATTAAATGTCAGTATTTTCCTAAAATAATCCACAAGCAGCCGCTGTGTTGAGATAATTCATGTTCCTCCTTTAAATCAGCTCGTTTTAATCATTTCCTTAATTTTAGTGAAGCTTCACTTTTACTGAAAGATAAAAATAAAGTCAGATTTTATTTTTCTATTTAAATCAACTGTCAGCAGGAACAAAATGTTCACTGACAGAAAAGCTGAACTAAACCTTTACACAAGCTGGAGAGGAGACATTTTCTAAAAAAACAAACCCAAAAAATTAAATATTTCTACTTGATTCAGATCTTTTTCCTCATTTTGTTCATGTGAGTGAAGCTCTGAGCAGCACGGACAGATTCTCAGGTTGGTTTTGTTTAAAGAAAAAACTGGAACAGAATGTTCACTGAGCAGAAGAAAACCTTTACAGAGTCCACACGTGTCGTTTCCCTCAAACGAATTATTATTGAGACAGGAGTTCATATTTCTAGTTTTATTCGGCTCTTATTAATCATTTTCTTAATTCCAGTGAAGCTCCCAGTTTGCTTCTTTTTCTTCTTACACAAAGATTCTGAATTTAGTTTTGAAGGAAAAAATGTGGGGGAAAAAAAATCAGCAAACCTCTTAAAGAAATGTAAAAATGTCCTAAAATAAACCCTAAAAGCAGCTATTAGTGAGGCATAATTCACTATTTCAATGTAAATCAGCTGCTGTCAGTCGCTCAACAGGATTATTTTGTCTTAAGACACGTTGGAGAAAACCTTCCTGAGAACAAGAGGGATTAGATCCGGCCGGCGGCAGAAACGGCTCGTTTTCAGGCTGAATGTGAGACCAAGTGACTTGTTAAGTGGGATTGTGTTTGCGGCGGAGGAAGACGGTGTGAGCGGGTCAGGAAGCTGTGAGGAATGTTGGTATGTGGCTGCAGCGAACATCCAGAGCTGCAGATCCACTGTGGAATGTGTGTTTGGAGATGAGGCTGAACACATCATCCGTCCAGCAGCAGCAGCCGCTCGGCGTCCTAATAACCGCCCGAGGACACGCAAACACAAACCGCAAATAACAAAAGGTTCTCGCCGTCCTGGAGTGAGATTTCAGAGCTCAGAAAGCGGCTGCAGGTTGCTGCTGAGCTGCTGGAGGCGCTTTTGGAGACAAACCCGTTCGCTGGACCGACTCCAAGAAGAAACAATGTGCTGTATTCAGACCCTGACAGGGAGGGTGAACAATGTTATATAAAAAAAAAAAAGCAATGCAGCTGGCGCTCTAATGCACAGCCTGTAGATATAGTTTCTGTGTAGTGAGAAGGTTCCATGAGAGACGCCCAGCTGCCCTCAACTTCCTCCATACTGTCGGTTTTCATACATTTAACCTCCAGATGAACCCGACATCTTCTTTAAAACATGTCATCGGCTTTAAACGCATCCAGATCTGATTCTGAGAGTTTCACAGCTCTCATTAATCCGCTGCTGAAAATAGTCCCGTAAGTTTAAATGTCGAGCTGATGCTTTGTTCTCAGAACAAAACTGTTGTTTCAAAGCTGAGCCGAAGCTTGAACGATGTTGATCAGGTCAGTTTGTCAGAACCACAGCGATCAGAGTCTCTGTTTTATTGGGTTTGGGCCCGTTTGGGTTAAACGAGTCGGACAGTGAGCACCGTGAGGCCGCATAAAGAGAAGGAGACAAATCCGTTTTGTCTGATTTCTGACTATTTAATAAACAAAACAGATTTAATTAAACCTTAATCAATAAAGTGGTTCAATTAATTTACGTTCTTATAATTTATTTCTGTGTAAAACTCCTCTGCTGCTTTTGTTGCTCTGAGCAGTTTGTGGCTGAAGCAGCTTGTTTTGTGTGTTTTCTCCAAACCAACGGAGGATCTGTTGGTGATCCGACGGGTTCTACCGACGAACCGAAGCTAGTTCAGGAGAAATGTTCTTGTCGTGTTGCTTCGCTGATTGGTTAAAGGTCATCAGCAGCACCCAATCAGCCCAAAGATTAAATGCTGAGGGTATGTTATTGTCATGGAAATTTCCATCAGGTCTAAATATTGATTATTGATATCTTGTTTATTAATGATCAGGGTCCTACACCATAATTATTATGGTGATTAATCTAATCTGCTGGACTCTGCTTTGTGAGGTCGGGGTGGATGGACGGCGCTGTGATTATTACTGGTCTCATATAGTTATCAAGAAACTTTTTAAATTTCGCAAATTTTTTACAAACGTAGCGTGAATTAGGCTCGTTGAAATGTGAAGAGTTGTCAGAAGGAGGCGCTGCATCTGCGTCAACCATAAAAAAACAGAGTGGAGGAAGACGGAAACAAAACCAACAGAGGAAAAGTGTTTTCATCGTCAGGTTGAGACGATCGTCATGATGTCAGCTGGTGTCGGCCATGTTTGATGATGTCACTAATAAAGATCTTTAACTCAGAAACCACCTCCAGTGTAAAAATGTAATGAAAACGTTATTTTTTCTAATGACACACCTAAAATGTACAAAATGAAAATATGTTCGGGGAACACAGCAGCTGACCGTTAAACTGTCAGTTAATCTGCTGATCAATATTTTCTGCATCAATCGATCAGCTGTTTGGTTCTAAAATGTCTTTAAAACGTGGATCAGAGTTTCCTCAGATGTCTTGTTTAGTCCAAAGATGTTCAGTTTGCTGCCACAGAGGAAAGAAACCAGAAAACATTCACTGAAGAAGCTGAAATCTCAAAACTCAGCCTGATTTTATTAGAAAATACTCAAGCTGATTATAAAAATAGTTGGAGATTGTTTTATTGTTTGACGAGTAACTCATTCATTCCTGCAGCTCCAGTAGATTCAGCTGCAGGTCGGACGTATTGGCAGAAATAATAATAAAAGTATTGGCGCAACTTGCAAGTTGCCAAATATGTGAATTGACCAACAACCCTTCACCGTGGTTACAGAAAACGTTGCCGCAGTTTAGTTGCATCTGAAGGAACTGCTGCTCTCTGGTTCCTCAGAAACACCACAAACATTTGAACTGCAGATTACTGAAGGTGTGTTTTTGTGCAGCTCCGTCGCAGCTCCTGCAGCGGTGGACGTCCGCATGCAGCCGGTCGCAGGTTTTCCTGCTGGCAGCTCTTTGATCTGTGAACGGAGGAGAGCTGCTCTGGCGGTTTGTCCCCATAAGACGCTTTCTGTCCGCGTGCAGCTTCGTCTGCTCGCCGGTGATGCAACTCTGCTGCTGTTTTTCTTTCTCTGCGTCTGTGTTTGGATGGAAACAAACTGAAATGACAGGTTTTCTCTGCCACAGATGGACGTCCAAACCCCGAAAAGCAGCAGAGAAAGTGCAGAGAGCAGGACGAAAACACTCTCAGGCTGCCACCAGTGATTTTCCACCACCAGCTGCTTTTATATGTTTCAGCTCCTTCGCTGATCCAAACTCTTTAAATTCTTTCTGTTCTATCTGCTGCCAGTTTCCTCCACCTTCTGCTGCTAAAATCTAAATCTAAAACTTTTACACAAATCTTTATTTATTTTAGTGAAATTAATGGAAACCAGTGAGATTTGGTGGTCAGCAGTAAAAAAAACACACGTTCTGTAAAATGTCAGTAAAATATAAAGAAACTGGAGGTTTAGATATTAAGGATAATTGTGATATTTTCAAAATGAAGCATTTCTATCATTTTAATAGTAAACGTGTTTAATAATCTCTGTGTGTAATTATTTACTAGAAAAGAGACAAAACACACAATGAACAAGGATGAATTTGACTGATCACAGTTTTATTTAGTTATTTAAAATGTTCCATCCTGATCAGATCCTGAATGTTTTTGGCCTCGATATATATATATATATTATATTATATATATATACATACACACACACACACACACACACACACACATATATATATATACTCTGAACCCTGAGATCTAATTGTGTTTCTGTCAAAGCTCCATAAATTATTTGCTACAAACCACCAAACACCAAACACCTGCCTGAATCCTTGTTTTCTGATTGAAACTGTATTTTTGTCAGTTTTAATCTCTTGTGCTTCGACTTGTTCAGTGAAAAGAGCTTTTGTAGGATGAAGTGTGTGTGTTTGTGAGGCTGCAGCATTAGAAACAGAACCCTGCTGGTGTCTGGGCTGAAACTCGGCTCTGTTACCTGCGCTGGTATCGAGACAACAAGGAAAAACTCTGCTGATGGAGAAACAACGTTTAATAATAATTGAGGTGCTTTTTTAGGAAAGACGTCGTGTTGCAGATTTAAATCCTAAAACTGTGCATGTTGTGTTTCTGGTGTTTGTGTGTCGCAGCAGTGAAGCAGCATGTTCCCTGTTTTAGATCGGCCGGGTTCTGTGGTGGTTCTGTGGTGGTTCTGTGGTGGTTCTGTGGCTCTGGGGGCAGCAGGTGTGTCGGAGCTTACACCAGGCCTGATCCTCGACATGCCGTCGGACCACGTTCCCTCCTAATAGCTGGCCTGCTCTCATCAGCCCAGAGCCACATAATGCACCTTTAATGCACCTATAATCCTGCACATGATGCGATCTGAGCGCGTGCGGAGCGGCGGCGGCCTGGTGTTTGTGTTGCGGCGCTCGCCTGTTTGTTTGCTGTGTTTCTGCTCCTCGCTGTGCTTTCGGGCTGCAGACCAACATTCCTGCTTTAGAGCCAAGAAAGACGCACAAACATTTTCATGCAGATCAGATGCTGAGCTGCTGCCGTCAGACGCTTCGCTCGTCTTCTGGCTTCACCTCCTTTAGAGTCGCTACCTTTCTTCACCGCTTCCTTCTTCTTTTACGTCCAAATCTCCTTCTGTCCTCCGTGCTTTTGTCTTTTGTCTCCTGATTTTTTTCCGTCTTTTTTCCTGTTTTTTCTCCCTTCTGGACCTTTCCATGATAAATCAATCCGTCCGTCCCATCTGACCCAGAATCAGCCTCGGCCCTCAAACACACAGATGTTTGAAAATATCAGCTTTTTCATCATTTCTTCATAAAAACACTTCTGACACCAGATCAGTTCTACATCCATCCAGGTGTCACAGTCTGAACACTGGATCTGGTTTCGGTTCATGTCCTCTGTAAGCAGCTGGTAGCATCAGTATTATGGGATGCAAATATGGTGAAAACATTCATAGTGTGAAAGTAAAACTGCACATTTTATTAAATATACTAAAGTTACTGCAGATGAAGAACCAACTGGTACAGTTCTGGTTGATATGATGTGGAGTAATCTTTACGTTTTCTTCTTGTTTCTGTTTTTTTAATAAACTAAAACCTACTACAATGAAAATAACAGGTAGAATGGGCTGAATTTATTTTACCACGTCGGCATCTTTCTAAAAACAAACATGAGTTTTAAGATAAGTTCTTCACCTCTTTCCTGTGACTTATTCCTCATTTCTTACTGCAAACTTGAAAACGTGAAATCTGTCAAACTAGTGAAGCTGTGTGTGAAGTGATGCTCAGGACGTCTGCGGTGTTTGAACTTGATGGAAAGATTCGGCCGAAGGAAACAAGGAGTCCTGTGTTTTATTTTGGAATAAACCGATTTTCCAGCTGTAGCTAACCACAGTAGGTTGGTGCTGAGACCGATCAGGTGAAAATGCTGAAATCAGCTGCAATCTGTACTGTCTGCTCGGATATCTCTGGTTTAAAGGAACACAAACACCGTTATCCTGCAGCAGTCGGTCATCCTGACTGAGGTGCAGTCAGACTGTTGTGTGGAGAACAGTCTGACTGCACCTCATGTTCCATGTACATTAGGTTTAGGCATCAACATTGCAGTTTGGGGTAAATGAGCCTTCATGACATGTTTGCCTCTTTTCGTTTATGACCAGAATCCCTATGTATCTGATATATGATTGGCTGGTTGTTCTGCACTACAGACCTCCTAATGTTGGGGTTTTACTGTCTGTCCGCAGGATGAATTCCATCCTTTCATCGAAGCGCTGCTGCCCCACGTCCGGGCCTTCGCCTACACCTGGTTCAACCTGCAGGCCCGCAAGAGGAAGTACTTCAAGAAGCACGAGAAGCGCATGTCGAAGGAGGAGGAGCGCGCCGTGAAGGACGAGCTGCTCAGCGAGAAGCCCGAAGTCAAGCAGAAGTGGGCGTCGCGCCTCCTGGCCAAGCTGCGAAAGGACATCCGGCCCGAGTTCAGGGAGGACTTTGTTCTGACGGTGACGGGGAAGAAGCCGCCGTGCTGCGTCCTGTCCAACCCCGACCAGAAGGGCAAGATGAGGAGGATCGACTGCCTGCGCCAGGCGGACAAGGTGTGGAGGCTGGACCTGGTCATGGTGATTTTATTCAAAGGGATTCCCCTCGAAAGTACTGACGGCGAGAGGCTGGTAAAGTCTCCTCAGTGTTCGAACCCCAGCCTGTGCGTGCAGCCACACCACATTGGAGTTTCAGTCAAGGAGCTGGATCTGTACCTGGCCTACTTCGTCCACGCAGGTAAGTCCGCTTCCTTCACTGTTTGTGGTGCTTGTTGGGTGAATGTGTGGAGACGCTGCTCAGCTGGGAGGATATGACCAAAGACGGTCGCAACTTCATGCCTCGTTTATTGAACTTGCAGCTTTTTAAAGCTTCTTTCTTGCTTTTATTTAAATTTGGCTTTCTGAGTTCCTGTCTGTTGTGGAGACGTTTGTGTTTCTGTGGAAGTTTCATTCAGAATCACGTTTTAAGGATTAACTCACATCTGCTGGCTGAGACGTCATCTAACACTCACATGAACATCTGGGCGGTTTGGTGAGTCAATGGAAGTCAGTAGGAAAGGTGTGTTTGATGGAGGTCATCTGATGGGTTTCATCAGGGCCGATAACTGGTGATCGAGAAAACTGATCAATGTTCTAAAAAGAAAAAAGTTGTTGAACACGAAACTTTGTTAATTGTATTTTACATGTTAAACTAAAGGGGAACTAGCTGGTGACCAAACCAGACACGGATTTCATAAAATTCTAGTTGCTTTTGTTTTAAACAGGTGGAGATGTTCTGATGGTGATGTCGGATCATTTCACTTTTTCACTGAAGGCATTTGGAGGAGTCTGTTAAAGACCAGAATAAACCGTCCTTATTGAGTCCCTGAAACCTTTTTTTTTTCTGAACCAACATATGAAATCTGTTTCTACAGTGAAGTGGATGAATCTGAGGCGTCGTGCAGAACTTCTGGTCGCTGCTCTCAGTTTAAAAATATTTAATTTGATCAGCATCAGTTAAAAAACTTCAGAAATCGTAGAAACGGTGAACGTCGGATGAGATAATCTGTTGACGCTCGTGTTTGACTCCTGCAGCCTCCAGTCGAGCTGCTAAACCTTCTGATAGTATTAATGTGGTGGTTTTCCTCAGAGACGTTCCTGCTGGACTCGTTTCTATCAGCAGCCTGTAAACACCGTCGACTCCACTGCTCCGGATAATGTTCCATTAACGTTCCAGCTTCTGTCTGAGTCTCGACGGGACTGAAGATGAATTCAGTCTGTAAATCTGCTCCGATTGTCCTTTTCAGGGAGCTGTGGAGGTTGTTGGTCAGTTGTCTTTGATGAAATCTACATTTTTACACTCCAGAAAGTCCAACCTACTGGATCGATAAATAAATGCAGCATGGCTCAGACAGAACACACAGAACAGAGGAGCCAGTTGTTGGAGATACGTTGAAGACGGGGAGTTCTGCAGGAAAACCAAATCTGTGACATTACTGAAAAACCGCTTCGTTCTTCAGGTGTCATTCAAAAAAAAAAATGCCAAAAATAAACTTTTTGCACTAATTAGATCCTATAAAAGGAGTTGTTGGAGATACATCCAGTATGGTGAAACATGTGGAAAAGTCTGGAGACATGGAGATAGTTCAACATCTGCAGGACGAGGAGACGACATGAAATAACAAAACAACAGTTTGTTGGGTTGGGAAATAGTTAAATCTCCGTGCCTTTGTTTCCCAGCGTTAGAGATACCTGTTGGACGTGAAGGTTCCAGGTTTCTTAACCGAGTCCATCTCTGAGGTCTCTCTCCTCCTTCATGTTGTTCTGGTTCCACAGAGCTGCAGAACTTTATGAAACATGAACCTCAGAGAACTTGTTAAACATGAGATTCTTTAGTTGTGACTTGATGAAAGTTTTCGTCTCAGTCAGTTCATGTGTGCTTGAGGATGAAGCTTCTTCTTCACTGTCGCCCGCCGACATGTTATCTGCAGCCGACAGCCTCGATCCCATCAGCGGTCAGTAAAGCAGAAGTGAGCAGAAAGAAACGCTGCAGCGAGCAGAGCTGCTTCACCAAAAAAACACAATTATCTGGGAGCGATTGCTCAGCACGTTTCCTGATTTCTGACTGATTCTACGGGAAAATCATTTGGCTGGTTGGAATATTTGAGAGCGGCAGCGGAGATGTTTGGCAGCAGCTTGAAATACTTGGCAGCGAGCTGCTTCTAAGTTTGTTGGAGCTTCAGAGTTTTCTTGGAAAAGGACGACAGCTTCCAGATAGACGGCGAAACGATCCGCGAGGTCCACTTTCAGATTCCCTTCGACAGCATCGACTCCAGACCCGAAGCTCACGTACACGCTGACATTTAGTCCCTAAAACAACTTCAGCTATTTTCTCACTTAAGTTTCTGTTTTGTTGAATTTCAAAGTTCATTCTGCCTTTGGAGTCAGTGGTCGTGTTTAAACATTCAGTTTGTTTGGTCTGTTGGAGCTTTCAGCTTCGTGTTTTTCTCAGATTTATCAGAAAACCTTGATGCAGTGAAGAATGTTTGAGGTATAAAAATGAGCAGAGTGTTTTTATTGCAGGTTGAAAAGATGTTTCTGGTTTTTGTGGAGAAAAGTTTGAAGTTTTTCTCAGATTTTCCACAAAAACTAAAACCAATGTGAGCAGAACTTCTCTTTATTGCGGATGTTGCTGCTGCTCGTCGTGTTTCTGTGGAGGTTTTAGGACGCAGATGCTCTTTTCTGAAAAATCCTTTTTTTGTTTCATTTCAAGATTTTTCGGAACCTCTGAGGCCTGATGAGACGTCTGAGGTTTAAAACGTGAGCAAAGTTTCTGTTGGCGTGCTTGTGGAGGTAAACTTTAGGATTCAGATGTTCTCTTCTGCAAAGTGCTTGATGAAGTTTCTTCAGACAACAAGTCACGCTGTTGTTTGCACTTTGTTTCATTCCAAGATTTTTCAGCATTTCTTAAATGTAGAGGCATAAAAAGTGAGCAGAGAGTCGCTCTGTTCCAGGCCCTCCTTCGGTCGTGGTGCTGTTTTTGTGGAGGTGAAGTTTGTGGAAACCTTAATTACAATCATTTCCTCCCTGAACTGAAGCCTCTCTGAGGGTGAAGAGCTGCTTTCAGCTCTGAGGAACCAACAGTTTGGGTTTGTGCTGCTCCGATGCAGCGATGCGACTGTTCCAGGAGTTCTGACTATTTTATCGGATGTTTGGGCCGAGCTGCTCCTCTGCAGCGCTGATTAAAAGCCCGGTGAAGCTGCTGACCTCGGAGCTCCGGGCCGGAGGCGGCTCTGTCAGGGCAGCCGGCCGGTAATTAAATTCATCCCCAAACCGCCGACTGCAGGCGGGAGGATAAAGAGCAGCAGTGTTGCCCGTAGAAACCGCAGCGAACTACCAACCATTTATTATTTAATCCTCTGACTGCAGCAGCGCCGACTTCAAAGACTAGAAACCTGACGGAACTTTTTCTTTCTCTCTGTTTTCACCTGCTGCCGTTTGTTTCTCAGAGGTTTGGTGGTAAATGTACCTGCTTCAGTGTTTTACAGCTTTAAAAACCCTGCTGGTCCCGACTCCAAACCTTTGTACTGTGATGGACTTTAGGGCTCAAACTGATCTTTATCTTTACTGTTGTCTGTTTTCTGGATGAACTGATCAGTTGTTTGGTGTGAAGTGTCTGAAAATGGTGAAATATGTGATGACACCTCCTGAAAATTTCTTCTGAAAAACAAAACAACATGGAATTCATTTCCTAATTATTTTAGGTGACAGATTCTGTTCAGAGTTTGCTTGTTAATGAGCAGCAGCAGGAGCTCGGGGTCGATGGAGGGCTGTTTCACTGCAACTGTCACGGAAATCTAAAGCAAACTTTTGAAATGTTGCGTATCTTTTAAACAAGAGGTAAACGTGACTTCACCTCGTTCTGTTTAGGCGAGTAATCACAGCTGCATGGTGTCGTCAGAAGGTGGCGCTACAAGAAGTTTAAAACTAAACCAGCTGCTGAAAAACCTCCAAGAAGTAGAAACAACCAGAACTTCAGAGAAACATGCAGAAGCTTTTCAGAAACCGTTTCAGCTGGTTTGCTGAATTTGTCTTTCAAGCGTTTTCTAACGCGATGCCTCTAAATGAGGCTTAGGGTTAGAAAGGATTAGTTAGGGTCAGTTAGGGTTAGTTAAGGTCACCTAGGGTTAGTTAGGGTTAACTCCACTCAGTCATTTATCGCGTTTGAATGCAAATTATTCTGGATCAGTTGTGATAATTTGCTGTTCTTCTGAGAATCTTTGAGTTCTGAGCGGTTGATGAGACTGAACAGAACATTCAGAGTCTGTTTGTGACTTTTTTAACAGATTAAATGAAAAATCAGATTTTTGTTTAAATCAAGTTGAACAGAGTTTGACTTCAGATTGAAGGAAACTGAACAAGTGGAACTTTACAGTCACACATACAACAACTAACACACACAATAACACACACACACACACTTACACACACACACTCTAACACACACAATGGCACACAATAACACACACACACACACACACACACACACACAATGGCACACAATGACACACACACACACACTAACAGACACACACAATGGCACACAATAACACAGACAGACACACACACACTAACACACCCTAACACACACAATAACACAGACACAATGACACACACACTCACAGAAAACAACTTAGAGGTCAGAGGTCACCCCTCCCCTGTCTGCTTTCTGAGCGCGCTCAGTGCGGCGGCGGGTATCACTATCACGGCACGTGCTCAGAGGTCAAAGGTCGGCATGTGGAGGCTGCGACCCCGATCGTCAGACGTTTAACCTGCAGGATAAACATGTCGCCGCCTCATTAGCTGCCGCTGGAGCGCGCTCCGTGTAGGGGGGGCGTGGCCAGCGGTGGCGGCAGCAAAGTCAGTTCAACATGATTCATTTACACTGAAATGAAAGTTCAGACGACTTTAAAACGCCACTGCAGCTGAAGATGGTTCCTAACCAATGCTGTCTGTCCTCGTGGTCGTTGAAACAGTTGTTCCAGATGATAACAGAGAGTTTGGATCTTTTTATCGGAACTATGATGTCTTATTTTGCAGATTTAAGCTGCAGCTCATAAACATTCAGACATTTTCTCCTTTTACTTAAAGCAAACAGCAGAATGATGATGAAACACCTGGAATCCAGAACATTTGACTGATTCAAGATGATTTGTGTTTAAAACAAGGTTTAACTTCTTAATCTGACATCAGGAAGTGAGCAGACAGACACTTCCCTCAGAAGTCTTTCTCTGAGATTCTCCACTTAAGAAAAGTTGAAGAAACTATGAACTGATGTTTCTCCATGAAGTCGCTGATGATGATCAGATGATCCTGAAACGGCTGATTGGTGATGTGAGTTGAGTCGAACGAACAGTTTGAATAAGTTTAACATGTCAGTGAGAACACGTCCATGTAGCTGTTATAAGCCTGAATTAAAGATAGAACTGATCCACATCTGGACTCACTGCTGCTGTTTGGGTCACAGTGATGGAACAGGTTTCACCTTTCTGTCGACACTTTAATGAGGTTTTCCTGTAACAAAACCTGTAAATATCTATTTATGAACTCTGTTCCAACATCTGGCACACATGTTATTAGAAATTTAAAGCTGAGCTTTAAAGTATAACGTAAAGTGGAAGTACTCGAGTAAAACTACTTTCCTCTAGGTTTAACTTTAACTCCTGTATTTCTTGTCTGTTGACTCAGTGGTTAAACTGCAGCGATGCGTTCAGGGTCTCAGACGTCCAGCTGTTGCTCCAACCAAAACTACACCAACTCAGACCACCTGTGTGTGTGTGTGTGTGTGTTTGTGTGTGTGTGTGTGTGTGTGTGTGACCCAGTTCTCTTCGTCCTCCTGAGCTCTTAACCAGATTTGGAGCTTCGTCTCTGAACTAGTTAAAGCAGCAGCTCAGTCTGCAGCCAAACAACACCGGACGCCATGTTTGACCTGCACACACACACACACACACACACACACACACACACACACACACACATAACAAAATTGACCTGTACACACTTTGTGCACTTCTTTACGCAGTTACACACTGGTGGTAAACACTGTACGACATGTTGGTCTGACCTGCAGCTACACACACAGTTACACACAGTTACACATAGTTACACACCTTTCTACAGTTGTTGTCACACCTGTGCACAATGATACAGTTTTACACACTTAAACACACAGTTGCACAAAATTCTACACAGTTTTTTACACATTTTACACATTTACAAAAAACAAAAAAAAAGTGTTGAAGTTTAAGGAGAATCAGTGTGTGTGTGTGTGTGTGTGCGTGTGCGTGTGCGTGCGTGCGTGTGTGTGTGGTTTCCTGTCCACTCAGAAACACGATCCTCCATCATGTCTGCGGCTGTTTGTTCGTCTCCTCTTACAGACGCTTTGTGTTTCTGCTGCCGTTCATCATGTGTTTGTGTTCGAGGCGTCGCAGCAGAAAACCGCAGCTTTGTTGTGGTTCCTGAACTACACACGTGACCAAGACCACCACAACGCACCACCGACACACACACTCCCTAACATCAGCCAACATCACGTTCTGCTGCAACACTGCATCACCATCGTCTTCATCACCATGTTGCTATGGCCAAATATGAATATCTCTTGTGACTTTCAGTGTTTCCTGCTGACAGGACACGTCTGTCCTCCGTCATGTTCTGGTTCTGTGGAGCTGCGGGACTTCATGTCCAGTAATTTTTTATAATAAGAGATTTAAAAATGTTGGAAAATATCCTAAAAATGTCATTAAGGGATCTGAGAAAACTCTGAGAGACATGAGGAGGAAATATTTACACATTTAAGATAAAATATTCCAAAATATTTTATACATTGGAGTACATTTTTGAAGGAAATAAAACTAATGTATATGACAATATTTGAGAAACATCACTAAAATATTCAGATTTTTTAAAAATTATAGGATAAACGAGTTGTAAAAATATGACTTAACGAAATTCAGAGAAACATCAGTATAACCTGTGCTTGACTGTTTTACTTTATTTGTTAATGTTTTTATATTTTCCAGATTTCTAAACATGTTCCACTAATACTTAGAAAGAAATTTAAAAAACAAGAATATTTTTATGATATATTTCTAAATGTATTACAGTTTTATGATGTTTTCCAGATTCTTCCAGTCTTTTACTTTGCCAATATTTCCTGTTGTTTTTTCCTCCAAACAGAAAAAGTGTAAACTTGAGTTTCCTGCAGCTCGTACGGTTTATCTGACGGTCTCGGTGTTTGTGCAGCGACATGTGGCCGAAGTTTCACCCTCAGAATAAATCTGTCCTGAAAGTACACAGCAGACGAGTCGTGATATAAAAGTGATTAGTCGGAGACATTAATGATTCTGTGTCCTCGTCCTTTAACAGAAAGCAGCTCATTAGTTAGAATGTGATTAGAATCATCACTTGATTAATTATACTGTGAATATTCAGCAGTTTCTTGGGAGAACTTGGCAGCGGAGCAGCAGCTCTGCAGGAGTCCTGGACGCCTCCGCTGGCCTCCCGAAGCTACACTTACACAATACGACAAAGAAACGTGCGTCCTCTGATCTCACAGCATCCAGGCTTCGCTTTCAGGAAGTCGAAGCCCTGAAAGCTCTGAGGTTTGACTTTAAAGCTCAGATTTAGATGAGAAACGGGCAGAAAGCTGTGCTGCAGGTCGAGGAAGAAAGTTTAGAGAAAGTCATTAAAGGGACGAGATCCAATAATTAAAGAGAAAAAGGATCCAACTCACTGATTCGGACAAACTGTTTAAGCTGCAAACACAAGTTGCATCAGCTCCATGTCTTGTAGCTGAAACTCACATTTCTGTTTGTTAAAACTTGTCTTCGTCTTTAGTTCAGGGCTTTGGATCCACTTGGTTTATGAAATTGACCAGAATTGTTAGAATTAAATACAAAGCACTTAGAAATTCCCTTTAAAAGAACATTCAGAAACGAGCTGAACAGCTTAGTTTTGATGAACCATCAGCTCCCAGCTACTGAATAATTAACAATTGATTTCTGTGACTCAGTAGTTTGTTGTTGAGTTTCCCTAAAAGTCGTCAGAACTCGAAAATCTTTACGCAAACTGTTGCGTTAGCAGTGTTTTGTTGAGCCTGAACGTTGTTTCTAGTTGGGGGACGCCTCGGTTCAGCAGATGATTCAGAAAGAAATAAAGAAATGAAGAGCATGAGTCTGACTGCAGCAGAAAAACTGTCCGACGGTTTGGACCAAATCCAGGAGGTGAAACACACAAAGACCCAAAGACCCGATCAGAGCCTTTGTTGTTGTTTTCTGTCTGTGTGTGTGTGTGTGTGTGTGTGTGTGTGTGTGTGTGGGTGTTCTGTCAGATGTTCATTTTTAATTATTGACAACTGCAGGATTAGTGCAGGTTTGGGGCTGATAACTGAATTATTGAGCCTCGGTGTCGGTGTGTCGGGGTTCAGGGGCGTCGCTAAATGAAAGGATTGGGGGGATAACGAGGGGGGATAACGAGAAGCTGCTGCCGGTTGGAGGAAGAAAACTGTCACAGCAGTCGCAGCTGAAATCAATAAGCTGATCAATTGATGACTCCGTTTTTAGAATCAACTTTAAATGAGAAAATATGTGACAGTCGAACGTTCACATCTGATTTAGTTTGAATGATTTTATTGCCTTAATTAGAACAAAACAGACGACGTTGGTGCTGTTTTGTGGTTCTTTATAGCTGCTTTGAGTAATTATGTGTGGTTTTGCACCTGTTTGTGTTCCCTGTGTGTCTCTTGGTGGGTTCTAATCCCTCTCTGGTCATCCTGCGGTTTTACATTTAGTCGGACTTCCGTGTGTTTGGACTCAATCAGCGTCTGTTTGAGTTCATTTACTGTCTTTGTGTGTTTGGTTCTGACTCTGTGCTCCGTTTGTGTCTCTGTCTGTGCTCTTTTTGGGTCTCAGTCGCTGTTTTGTCATTTAGTTTGGAAGAATATCCCAGTGAACGTTCAGTAAACGTTCAGTAAACGTTCAGTAAACGTTGAATCGGTCAGCGCCAGCAGCCTCCATCAGGTAGGGAACATTCTGAGCTGTTTGTCTGGAGAATCTGGGTTCAGCTCGATTCATACGCTTGTTCTTTGGGA